CATGGGAAGTTCCAGCTCAACGTGAGGAGAAACTTGTTGGCTGTGCGGGTGCCGGAGCCCTGGCCCAGGCTGCCCAGAGAGGGTGTGGAGTCTCCTGCTCTGGAGACTTTCCAACCCGCCTGGACGCGTTCCTGTGGGGCTGCCCTGGGTGACCCTGCTCTGGCAGGGGGTGGCACTGGGGGATCTCTAGGGGTCCCTTCCAACCCCAACATTCTGTGATTACGAGCAGCGGCTGAGGGAGCTGGGGTTGTTCAGGCTGGATAAGAGGAGGCTGAGAGGAGACCTCATTGCTCTCTACAACTACCTTGAAAGAAGGTTATAGTGAGGTGGGTCTTGGTCTCCTATCTCATGTAATAAGTGATAGGACAAGAGAACGTGGCCTCAAGTTGCACCGAGGGAAGTTTAGGTTGGAAATCAGGAGGTATTTCTTTACTGCAAAGGTTCTCAGGCATTGGAACGGGTTGCCCAGGGCAGGGGTGGAGTCTCCATCCCTGGAGGGATTCAAGAGTGGAGCAGACACAGCGCTCAGGGATGTGGTTTAGTTGAGGACTTGTCAGTGTTGGGTTAAAAATTGGGCTCGACGATCTTTAAGATCTTTTTCAATCTGGGCGATTCTGTGATTCTAAGAGCTGTGGTTGTGGTCAAGCCTGGCAGGGTCGTGCCATGTTTATAGGAGCTGTTGAGTGTCTCGTCCAAACTGGATGTTGGTAGAGAGAGTTTCTTGGTGACCGAATGAATTTAAAGAGCCTTCAAAATCCCCATGGTATAAAATATGGGTATTTACTCATCTGCTGCTCTCAAAACAGCATCCTCCAGGTAAGTCGCTCCCTGTTAGTACATGTTGTGAAAGGACGGACATCAAAATTCTTCTACCATTGTTTTTCTTTGTCAAACTGGACTTTGTCTTCTCTCACTTTTCCCCCCAGGCTCTCCAGACCAGGAGACACCATGGCTGATATTACTAATTCTAATTGTTGTAGGTAATTAATACTAAAGTTTCCCTATTTTATCCCATTTTTCCAAGCTCAATATTAGTCGAGGGTGCGGAATAACTGTGAAGGACAAGTATTATGGAGGCTTAAAAGATCATTGCTTTGACAGTGATTCAAATTTAGGAAAATACTGGACAAACAGGGAGATTGCAATGATCTCCGTGTAACATACTGCATGGGATTGACTTTAAAACACTTTAAAACACTCATTGGATTGTAGCATTTCTTACCTTAAAGTAAATACTCGAATTAAGCCTTTTAGAGATGTGTATAATCACTCCTCTCAGCTGAACTAGGAACGAGAGTAAATGTATTCTCATTACATGGGAATGACAAACTCAATCTTTCACAAATGAACTGACTCTGTTTAAGACAGAGTGGGTTTCAGATCAGAAGAGTTGCTTCCTACTCTTCTATTCAGCCAAACGTTTTCCTTGTCAGGTGGCCATTTGTTTTAGTGCTGGGTTTTGGATTGTTAGTATTGGATTTATTTATTTATTTTGTTTTTTGGAAAGAGAAATCCAGTGACTTGGAATATTCTTTGTTTAACGGCTGTGTCACGTACTCTGTGTAAAATGTGCTTTCTCTGAATTCTAAGTAAGTGGAAAAGTTTGGGTTTAATTCTCTGGGATTCACTGAAAAAAATCTAAATAAAGTTAAAAATTAAGTTTTAGAGTGTGTGTATATATATATATATGATCCCAAGGGTCTTTTCCAACCTGAATTGTTCTATGATTCTATGATATATATATAAGTTTTATATAAGTACGTACTTGTATGTATAAGTTTTAGATAGAGTTTATATAGAGTAACCCAAGTGGATGTTGTAATAATGCGTGTGATAGTTACCTGTAGGAGTAGCACTTGTAGCTTGTTGGTTTGGGTTTTTTCCAACCCCTTTGTACCCATTGTAGGTACTGAGCAGGGAAAGTGTCAGAACTGGCCAGGGTGTTCTCACAGTGAGAAAAAGCCACATCTATTTGACAGTCCGTGATAAGCAGGGGCTGGAACTCTTGTACCAACCTCACTAGTGATTAATGTAACTTGAAAAGCTTTAGCTTTGATTTTACGATGTCAGCTTTATTGTACTCTGCCTCTTTACAGACGTTTCCTGCGGATAGAGAGGAAGGAAATGGTGCTTTGAAGTTGAGGATCTTGTGTCTGTCTTCCAGCAGCAGAGATTGAGAATTAACTCGTGTTAGAAAAACCTGTTCTGAAGTCATTGTTCCTCACTTAAAGGCTTCATGTAGTTGGAAGTCGGCAAACACGTCAGTGTAAAGATGGTAGCGAGAGCTCTCAAATCTTTTGTCAGTCAGGATGATACAAAAAAGCAAATATGGTAGAAATGAGAGTTGCAATGAAGGCTGCTTGGTGCAGACGGTTTACGGGATGGGGAGAACTTGTTGCACTGCAGACCAAGGAATTCCTTAAAACCAATGAACGTATAGTGCTGATGTCAAGAGCTGACTGAAGACCTTCATCTTCTTTTGCAGAACCAAAAAACAAAAGAACAGATTGAAAGCCTGCTACAGAATGGAAACCACAAAGAGTTACGGGATCGTCTCTGCTGCAGGCTGAGCTTTGGGACTGCCGGGCTTCGCTCTGCGATGGGAGCAGGTTTTTGCTACATCAATGATCTCACGGTGATCCAGTCCACGCAGGTAAGCCGAGGAGTTGTGTGGGAGAAGACTAAGGGGTTTCGCAGTAAAGGTTGGGATCATACATGTGTCACTGAAACGCAGGCTGAGGGTGAAACGCAGCAGCTGTGCACCAGGACAGCAATAGAATGAAACGTTTAGTGCTCAAATAAAAGAGCTTCAACAGCTCCTAGGGGGCAGAATGTAATTGCTTCTGCTGGAATCTGTTAGTCTATAGTTGGAAAGTCTAGTTATAGTTAAAGTCTAGAGTGGGAAATCATTAGCTGTTGTGAGAACTTGTATTTGTCCTGAACTAAATGGTTTATCTATGATTTAATAGTTGTGTACTTGGGTTAGAGAGAACAGAATTATTGGCTAAGAAAACACAGTAAACAGATGTTGATCTTTTTGAGGACTAGTTCTTTGGAGAAGAGTGTTTTGGGAAGGACTTTTTGATTTGAATGCAGACAGGGAGATGTTGGAACCTAGAGGTAGCTCTTGACTGCCATTTGGATAGTTGTCTATTAGTGGTGTTGGAAGGGTCTGATGGGATGGGGGTGTGTGTGACGTCAAATTTTGTCCAGGGAGCCTTTAGCCCTATTTTCCTGCTCTTCTGCCGGAGACTAGGAGAGCACGAAGCTGGAACATGGAGTTGAGGAGCTGAACAGAGGCTGCCGTGGGAATATGAATGATGCCAGTGCTGTGGTGGGGAACACTGACAGAGACTTCTCACTCCTGACACATCTTTTTCTTGAACCATGTTTTCTTTTGACTAGCTGTTGACGTTGACAACTGGAAATAAAGTTTTCTGAACTTGGTTCTTCAGTATCTCTTACCTTCCTTCTTTCTTCTTTTGGTTTTGGTCTGAAAGAGGGATGAAAAATAATTGGGCTCTTCTCTGTTTCCCTCTCTGCTTTTCTTTCAAGCAGCATTAATGAGTTGTATGTGTGTTGGTTGTCAGAATGAATCAACCTGTTGGTTAATATAAGGCTTAATCATCTCTGCTTTTCTTTGAAGCGCTGTTTGTTCTAGGCCAGATGATACATTCTTTCTCAAAGAACTTAGTCCCCAGATGTCTGATTTCTTTCCACGCCTTTTTAATAAATTTTGAAGAAATGGTTGATGTTGGTTTAGTTTTTGATCAAAAGTGATCCATGCTCCTTTTCTAGATTGCTGTCTCAGGGGATTTGTTCTGAAACTTGCTTACTGCACAGTACCAGGGTGCTTTTCAGCCGATGTGTTCCTCTAAATTTTTTTCCCCCCAACGAGGAGATTAAATAACTACTCTTCACAACTAAATTTCATAAGAAATTAATTCAGAGTACGTTTGAAATTGATTTTATGTTACCCAGGCTTTGAGCACATGAGTCTGAATTTGAGTAGGGTTGTGGTCCTATCAAGCTATCACTCCTGGCTGTGATGGTCATTCTTGCACATACTTTATTATGGTAAATGTTAAGCAAAAAGCAGTTGGATTCTTAATATACCTTTCCTCTCACCCTAGTGAAGGTAGAGTCAATCTAGAAAATAGATGTTCCTTATTTTCTGTCCTTATGAACATATAAAATACAAATGGGTTTGGACTGTGTAAATATGCTTAAACATCTTATCCATTCCCACCATTAGTCCTGCCTATTGAAAATATAATGAACTGATATTTTTCCTTTTTTATTAATAAATGGAGCTCCAACCAAATGATGAAAGCTATTTTATTATGTGACTTTCAAAGGGTTGATAAAGTCTCTCGTTTAGTACTGTGTGCTTCAACATTTTTTAAGTAGTTGTCTCTCTGCAGGTTAATCCTCTGATAGAAGGTCCCTCAGCGTGCGTGACTGAAAAACTGATATATTTATATCCATTGTACTTACATTGTCAAGTACTTTTTTCCTTTTTTTTTAATAAATGGAGCTCCAACCAAATGATGAAAGGTATTTTATTATGTGACTTTCAAAGGGTTGATAAAGTCTCTCGTTTAGTACTGTGTGCTTCACCATTTTTTAAGTAGTTGTCTCTCTGCAGGTTAATCCTCTGATAGAAGGTCCCTCAGCGTGCGTGACTGAAATAATTTGCTTTCTCTTGGCTCAGGGTGAAGTACTGGGCTGAAAACTTGAAGCAGCCAGGGCTGTGTTAAACTGTGGCAGACTGCTCATGTCTGGCTTGTATACCCAAAGTCTTGTGAAACCAAATTCCAATAGCTTTGTGTACAGGCTTTGAAAAGAATAGAAGCGATATGTTGGAGCTTATCGGTAGGGTTTGAAACCCGGCGTTATATCTGACCATTTTTTCCTCTTCAGCCTCATCTTGGGTCTAACAGAAAGCTTTCTTCAGCTGTCTAACCTGTAAACTGGACATGTCTTAGAGTGATGCTTCGTTTAATTCTAGCCTTACTGATCTGAATATCCCAAACTTGTCTGCTACAAATATTGTCATGGTATGAACAGAACTCACTGAGGTGGTGTAGGTGGTCTCCACTGATTTTTGTAGGAATGAACTGAAGAAATTAAAAAAGAATGAAATCTAGTAGTTTGTTGACAGCGGTGGAATTGTGTTAAGAGCAGTGAAGTTGCTTTAAAGAAGCCCATTTTTCTTTGAGGCAGAGTAAACATCTTGAAAATGCAGAGGAAGTAAATAAGTGACTTCACTTTTTGGCGTGTGCAGGCTGTTGAATTTGGAGGCGCTCACGCTCCGAGCGCCTGGACGCTGCGTGCTGCCTTTGTGTTGCCAGTCTCCTGAAAGCGTGGCTGAGCTTGGATCGGCGGCCTGACACGCATTCTTGGCAGAAAGTGAAAAGTTTCATTTTGGTCAGCAGGGAACGTGGTTTGCAAGTTCAGTTTCACAGGCATTGCCATTCTCTGAGAGTAACAAACTGGGTTATATTCTGTTGTTCCCTCTGTGGAACTTCTATTTTTAGTTGTTTATTAAAGCCATGTATCAAGTTAGAAAAAAACAGTCTCTGGGAAGCAGATGAGAACCTGGTTCTGAAGTAAGCTGCATCAGATTTAATCTTTATGAGTACATTTATTTCAGAAGTTAAGGACTTTGCCAGTTTTGTTGAACCTACTCTGGGGGATCCTGCTCTGGCAGGGGGGATGGACTAGATGATCTTTCGAGGTCCAACCCCAAACATTCTGTGATTCTGTGAACTTCATCTGCAAATGGGTGACCCTCTCTGTCTGTATTTGTCCTTACCTGCTGCAGGAAAAATTGGCCGTTCAGAAAAGTAGAATTCAATGTGATTAAAATATTTCCTTTAATAATAGAAACCTTGCCTGAGTTGCAGGCTTAATGCAGTGTTCTTCATTTGCATGATTATGTTAATATCCTGGAAAAGTCAGATTCAGAAAGGTAAAGAATATCCAGAAGTTGCTTTTGCCTCCTAGACTTTATGCCGAGGTTATGGACTAAATTTCCCTGCTCAAGTATTGTTTCTGTCCTGTGGAACCAGCTGCTGTTATTAATATTTAAGTAACCCATTACTGACCTCCACAGTGACAAACCCAGTCTTCTTTGCATCATTGCTATGAGTTTCCTGTTGCTTTATAAACAAAGCTAGATATAATAGTTGGAAGACTAAAATAGTGGATTTCATAAGGCTGTTAATATCTCTCTTGATTTCATCAACCAAAAATCCTTCCGTCCCGTTCTTGGTACTGACACTGTCCCAGGAGAAATTCTATTAGGACACAATCAAAACCTGAATCTTCTAAAAAGGAAATGAAACCTCTTTAAATTGAGAAACTTATTAAAGAAAGGGGTTATCCCTAGAAGTGTAGGAGTTACTAACTGCCCTCCTAGAATGACACCTGGGCAAAATCCCACCTCACCCTTGAGGAGAGCATTCCTTCAATTGTAGCGGCACCAAACCATGTGGGACACTTGTACCTTTGTCGAGAGTGTTCTGTCCTTCGTAACCTATTGACTGTCTTCATTTGGGCAGGAGTATCAGTTGTTCTATCTGAACTGAAAAAGTTCATGTGCCCCTGTTTGCGGTTTCTAGTTACTTCCAGTTTGTCTAAAAGGGTCCTGCTTCTCCTGCAAATGTTTTTTTTCTCTGGGTGTGCAGTTTCCTGATGTTTGAGGAACTAGCCCAGATAACACTCTGCAGCATCCTCTGATCTCAAGATCCCGCTAGCCTAAATAAAGATCTGTCAGTAAGAAATTTCTTAATCTCTTTAAATCGCAATCAATCTGGTCAAGTTTTCCCCATTCGTTCCTCTCTCACCTCTTTACAACTGCGAAGTTCTTGAGAAGTTGTCGGGGCGGTGTGAGCATGTTGATGTATCAACACAGTTCAGCGTGAAGGTGACTGCAGCTGGCGGTCGTGCCAGGGCACAGCTTCCCGCTCTGTCAGTACGCAGAGATTTTTATTTCTTTTAAGGTTTTTCTCTCTCTATAAATCCCTCTATAGAAACACTACATCTCTGGCTGAAATGGTTCTCCAAAGAGGTGCCGATATCCTCGTGTTTGAAGTACGTCCTTTGGTGGAAGTGGGCAATAATCATTGCAAAAATTGAGCTCAATGTGGGTAGGGGACAGGCAAGCTTTCCAGCTGAGTGACCGCTTGTTGGTGATAGCGAGTCAGAGCCAGATAAGGCCATTGCAAAGCACTTAATGCTGGAGGAAAAACCCATTTAATTTTTAGTATGGATCACCTCCACCCCTTCTGTCGTGTCCTTAGAAGAAGTAGCCTCTTTCCCAGAAGTCTGGCCGTGGTGAGCTGTCGGGACAAGCTGCTTTTTGACTGTGGTGAACTGTAGCTTGCATTAGCCAGAGAGCTTCCATCTTTTCTCTCTAAAACTGCTGATCCATCCCAGGTCAATTTAAAAATTTACTCCCTTCATCTGCTCCCTGTTTCTTCTCCCTGCATGGGGAGGGAAGGTCTTCTCTGATGCCTTGACATTAGAAATATTTTTGCCTTGCTGTACAGCTTGTATTTGTGCTACAGTGTCTGCAGAGTATGTAAATCAGGGAGTTAAGTCTGGAGCAGGTCACTAGTAATAAACTTGCATTTGAAAAAGTGAGTAGAGGTGCAGCATTGTTTTAATGCAAGTTTAGAACTAACACTTGGGAAGCAGTGCTGAAAAGGTGCCTGACTTTTGCTGTGAACACAGAGATGAAGACTAGCACTGACCAGCCTTATGTTGTCTGAGTACATGGACTTCCAAAATATGGATTTTCCTCAATTGGGTCTTTAAGATGATGGTTTGAATACATAAAAGCGTAGTACAGATTGAAAACAAATACTTGCTGCTGGCTTGAGCTTTGTGTTTATGCTGTTTGGTCACTTATTGTACTGCTTTTATTTCCCACAACTGTTCCTCTGTTTCTTTTCCTTCTTTCCATGAACACTTTGGGGAAAAAAATCTGCTGCTTTTGTGCATATCGTTATTGACATTTTTGCTGAGCTGTGTTTTGCCTACTGACATGATATATCCTTTGTGAAAGATCATTTTTAATGTTTTTGTGTGCTGCCCTAGACCTAATTCTTCGCCTTTTTTATTTTCCCCTCCCCTTTTTTTTTTTTTTTTTCTTTTTCTCTCTTTTCAGGGAATCTACAAGTATCTCGAGAGGTGTTTTCCAGACTTTAAGCAGAGAGGCTTTGTTGTTGGATATGACACACGAGGTCAGGTGACCAGCAACTGCAGCAGTAAGAAGTATGAGTATTGATTACATTTGCAAGCCTAGAAATTAAATTGTGGCTTTAAATGCATTCCGTTGTAGCAGAATGTTTTTGTCATGAACTGCATGCACTCTGTCCCTTCCCTTAGTCCATTTAAATAGTAATGAAGAGAGACATGGACAAAATCCGCTTTAAAACCAGTTGCCAGCAAATGTGGAATGTAAGGCTAGTCATTTCACCAGAGAATTTACAGTGTAAAAGCACATTAGGCATAAATTAAGAAGTTGATGTGCCTGGAGAGAAATTTGAATGTGAATGGGAATCCAGAATACTAACATTTAGCTTGAAATCGCTAAATGTTGATGCATTACTGTTAATGCAATATGCATCTGGTTTAAGCTTGCATGGAGAAGAAGAATTCTACCTACAGCCTAGTGGAACCCATTATTTTGGTATCTTTATGCTAATCTGCCGTCTTGGTATATTTCCACGTTGGGAATATGCTTAAAATGTAAACTTGCAGTGATGCCAAATTGTGTGTTTTTCAAGTGAAGGGGAGAGAGGATCTTTAAAATAACTGCTTTCTGAATTCTATAAGGAATCCTAGCCCCTTGTACTTTGGGGAGCAAAACACATGTTGCAATGGCATGCTTTATGAAAAAGCCAACCCAGTAGCTCATTATTATTTAGTTGGTGAGTAGCAAAGTCGCGGGTTCGATCCCCTTTCGGTCCCCATGTGTTGCCTGATCTAGGTGAGAGGCGTCCCTGCCCATGACAGGGAGGTTGGATTAAATAATCTCTAAGGTCCCTTCCAGCCTGGGCCATTCTGTGATTCTATGAATGTTGTAGTTAATATAGATATTGCAGTTACATTTAACTTACGTAGGGTTTTTTAGTTTTGTCGGTGTTTAATATTCTAGGGATATGAAAATTCTTGATATAATAAAGCACAGAACCTAGAGCGCTAGATTCTAAGACGGTTCTAAGAGTCTCTCCATGCCCCTGAAGTGTGTCTCTCCATGCCTCCACGTGGGGTCTTCAAACATATGTAGAACATTTTCCACCAGGCTCTGACATAAGGATTTTAAACTCATTTGTTATGTTGTGTTTGCGAGGCTGTTACCCAAATAGGCTGGATTGTGCACAGCTTAAAAATGTGGAATTCTTGAGAAAACCATTCATTTTCAGCCACACAAAGCTTGGAATTCAGGCATGGTCGTGTTTCACCTGTCAAAGGAGCAAATCGCTTCTCAACTACATAATTCTTTTGTCCCCTTGAGATGATACACGGTTGCAGTAGTGCTAAAACCAAACTGAACCTTCCCAAAAGAGTGTTTTCCAACGGATCAGCACCGTGTGAGCAGGAGCGCCACTTTCTTTGCATCAGTTCCAGTGCCGAGGGAGAGGGCAGACCCTCTGGCTTTGTCCTGTGTTTAATTTCAGGTCACTCATTGTGGTGCAGCAGCAAAATTTCAGTAGCTTCCACCTACAGGCTGAGCTCTCAAACTCTTTTAAGTGGGCTCAGACTGCATCTAAGAGGTGCGATAGTGAAATCTGGAGTAGTCGAAATTTGAACTACAAAGAGCTCCTGATGAGAGATAAGGAAACGAGTATTAATGCTTGTCTGTAAAAACAAGGGAGCAAAGCACACTTAGGCTATTTAATCTCTCATCTGCTCTGACTGTGAGCCTTTCTATTAACTGCTGAGCTGTGTGTATCTGACTTGAAAAGAAGTTTCCTATCAGTTACCCAAAAGAGAGTTTCCCTTATGCTTAAAAGGAAAAGTTTATAATAAATGCAAGGTTTAAAACCACGGTGCTTTTACTGGTTCTAAACTTTACGTAGTAAGAGTATGCTGGTTTGCAGAATATTGTTTTATTATGCAGTATATTTTAGGAAGAGATCTGCTTCGTGGGTGAATTCTATGATTCTGTGATTCTGTGATATTGTCTGAAGCTGCTGAACAAGGCTGGCAAACACGCTTTGTTATGTGGGATACAAACCTCCTGTTGCCGACATCGGGCACTTTAAACTTTCTGGGAGTTCGGGTCTGTCCTTGAATGAAGGACAAGTGCCACACCAGCAGGTTCTGTATCTTTATTTCTGATATCAGTGGTTTATTTACGTGGTTGACTGAAGTGCCTCGTGCTCTTCAAGCAACAAATAAAAGCGCTGTCTTGGATTCTCCAGCCTGTGAACTGTGTTACATTGACTGTACAAGCTGTAGAATAAGCCAAAAAACAATAGAGGGCTTTAAGAAACAAATGAAATGAAGGCTGTGTTAATGCCACATGGTTGTTGGGTTGTCGTGAGGAGTTGGATTCACTGAATCTCTTCTTTTTCGCGTCGGTAGACTCGCAAAGCTCACTGCGGCGGTCCTGCTGGCTAAAGATGTGCCTGTACACTTCTTTTCAACGTATGTCCCTACGCCGTTTGTGGTGAGTCGCCTTCCCTTTTCTGTTGTTACTCCCTTTGCAGTTAAGGGAGTATATCTGAAAGTTTACTAAAAATGGAAACTCCCGATTTTCTTCTCAAATTCTATTATTTAAACAGAAAAATAGAGGGCCCCTTGCCACCCATCAGAATCCCGTTTTGCCCCAGGCTGCTCTGCGAGGGCGGTCCAGGCTTCCCTCTCTTAGTTATGGGTGAAGCGTTCTGTTGTCCTTCTGTTCTGTGCTTAAGCACTTGGGTATCATAAGGGCCAGAGGTGATGTTTATGTGCACGTGAATATATGCGTATACGCAGGGGACCGTATGTTTTTGAGTGTAAAACTTACAGCGCTTAGAGTGGTGGAAATAAAAAATTGCCTGTACTTTTACTGTCTCAGAAATGAAAGCTTTTCGTTCTGGTCACAAAAGCTTTTTCATGCAGGGCTTTAAATCCTTGTTTTCTATTCTGCAGGCTTTTTTAGTGTGCCATGTATGCTGTGGATCTTGTTTTGAGGGGAGGACTGAAAGGAGTTGAAAATACCTGTAACTTGTTTTTCAACAAGCCTTTCAGTTAATTCCTTTATTCCATTTCCACCTGTTTTGTTTTTCTGAAATACTAGCGTAATCCGAGTGTAGACTTTCTCTAGCTGGCCTGTTAACAATTGTGTTTATGTGATTACTAAATAGAATAATGTTCCTATGCAACAGCATAGAACAAGCTTTCCTCTCTCTTACTGCCTACGGGACATGAAATAATGAGCGTTTGTGTATAGAGTTTTCAAGCAAACTGCGGAAACCTTAAGAACCACTTGTGTTGTAGCATCATCCTGTTGTATAACTGTCCTAATAATATAATGTTATTTGTGCCAGCTGCAGAATTCTTGGGTAAATGGACATTTCTGGGTTTCCCTTGTAGCCCTATGCTGTTCGGCAGCTCAAAGCTGTGGCTGGGGTGATGATCACAGCATCCCACAACCGGAAGGAGGACAACGGATACAAGGTGAGGCTTGAAGTCTGTAGCACATCACAGCCGGCTGCTTTCTGGTATTGCCTACGCACCTTTGGCCTTTGGCTGCTTCTGGGTGTACGTTAGAAGGAGAAATGATTTCACGTAACTCATCCTTCTAGAACCTGAATTACACAGCTTTCTTCTGCGACTAGAAGTTAAGACCCCACTGTTTGTGTATCTTGAGCACAAGTTGTTGTAATATTCCCCCAGCAGCTGAAGCAACTTATTATGCGTTCCCTTCTTAGACTTCAAAATGAGATTAAAACTAAGCTAGAGCTTAGGTTAATTAGTCCACACAGTATGTAAGTGTGCTGAAGATGGTGACTGTTTAAGAGTTGATTAATAAAACCTTGTAGCAGCGTGTTCCTCTCTGTAAGGTTGTTTTTCTGGGCATAGAGAGAGAGGTGGGGGGCTTCATTTTTAAAGCTCAGAACAGTAGAACCATTCATTATAGCAAATGCTGCTTATGCAGTATGGTGACACAGTATTTCCTTTCTAAACTTTATAAGAAACTGAACTAAACTCTAATTAAGCGTTACGGAAGCTTAGTAACAGGTCAGTGAGTAATGGCCATGATAAGGAAACCGGTCTTGCTCTGCATGGAGATAACTCTTGGAGGTTATTGAACCGCACGTGTCCTCTGTGGAACAAGTTGTCAGCTGCTTCACCAGCCTTTACTTTACTTTACTCAGTTATAGCAGTGAATAAGGAACTAAGCCACATTTTTTTCCCAGGTGCTTCATTTGTCAAGAAACCATTATATTTGTGTCTTCTGATACAAACCATTTTACTTTTGTCAAGATATTGTTGTGGTTTTTCTCTAGTCTTTCACAAGAATTGTTTCATCTTTTGCTATTTCCCCTGTGAATTCAGCAGCTTCTGAAGGTTTTGGACAATTGAAGCCCAATATGCCAAACCCACGGTTTTGAAGGTTAACAAGTACCTGTGGGTTTCCTGAAAGCCAGCGAACATGGGGAGAGACAGATTGGTGTCAGCAGAAAGTCTGCGCTGTGAACTCAGCCGTGCTGTTGGAAACAAACTGTGGGAAAACCAGCCTCTAAATAATTCTTTAACAAAGACTTTTTATAGTTCAGGGCTTCATAGTGTTTCCAGCTGAGAGATTGCAGTCGTTCACTTACGAAAAAACACATACCTTGGCACTCTGCTTATCTTTTTCGCTTTGATTTCAAAACCAAGTTGTGCTTCTTTTTTATTTATTTTTTTTTTTTGAAAAGGAATGCCAGACTATGTAGAAAGTGATGTTTTTCTTCTGTTACAGTTTGCACAACGCTCTCAAATGTAAGTGCCCGGTTTTGGTTTCTCGCATTCTGATGATTTCAGTCATAATAGTTGAATACCAGTGTTTGAAAATAAGTCGTGTTGCTGAGTAGCTGTCATCACCTATCTGAAATCACAAACTGTGATTCCAAATGACTTCTGAGAATGAAGCCAGTCTGATGCTAACCTTTTCTGTGTAACTGCAAGAAGCAGGAATATGTGGAAATTCCACAGCTAAAATAATTTATCGAGTTAATAACAACTGTGTCTTTTTCTCCTTAAACTTACACCAGGTTTACTGGGAGAATGGAGCACAGATCACCTCTCCCCACGATAAGGAAATTATAAAATGCATCGAAGAGTGTGTTGAACCATGGAAAGACTCTTGGAATGAGAATCTAGTAGACACCAGTCCCCTTAGACAGGATCCTCTGCAGAAAATTTGTGACTGTTACATGGAGGATCTGAAAAAGATCTGTTATCATAGGTATTGTATAAACCAAAATGTACTTAAATGATGGTTTTAAGGAAGCTCAGGGTTGCACGTGGAAAACTGACTGCTGACAGGGTCGTTAAATTAGATGATCTTTATCGTTAGGACTAAACTGTACTTCTTGACAATAAAGCAGCCTGCCCTTGGACACTAGGCTAAAGCAATCTGATGTGAACCATTTTATGCAAATGCACATGCTCAAAGAGTTCTGAATAAACTGCAGAAATTCAGAGTAAAGATGAAGTGTGTGTACATGGCTTAGAGGCGAGAAGATTCAGTGTAAAGGTGAAGTGAGGCAGGAGACAAGAATTAGAGGAGGAGAATGCATAACATAGGTAGAGCCGGAGTAAGATGTGCAGGGTGATGGAAGAGCTTGAGTTTGCAGACTTTAACAGTTCATTCTTGGGAGACTTTTAGCTGATTCAGCAAAAGATTGTCTCATTTTTCGTGAGAAGGAGCTTTAAACCAGCAATTTCTAGTGGAAGTCCAAATGAGCACTTTTCACTCATTCCTTCTTTGAAATTAACGTGGAAATCAGCAGAATAGTACAAAGTGTAACTGCATTTTCTTTTGGGTTTGCTTTCCAGCGTGAAAGTAGTCATGTTAAATACCTAAAATCATACTGAAATTCTTTTTTTCCCCCTTCTTAGGGAGCTAAATGAGCAAACGAATTTGAAGTTTGTTCATACTTCTTTTCATGGAGTTGGACATGACTATGTGCAGTCGGCTTTCAAAGCATTTGGCTTTCAGCCCCCCATTCCAGTACCTGAACAAAAAGATCCAGATCCAGACTTCTCTACTGTCAAATGCCCGAATCCTGAAGAGGGAGAATCTGTGCTGGTATTTCTGTTTCTACTTCATCAGATTTCTATGAGTTTTCTTCTGTTGGCATATGAAACTGTGTTGAAAAATAAATGGAGGGAATACCTGGCTTCCAGCTGTGTTAATACAGTGGGCAATCCATACAAAATTTTATTTTCACTATGTGTTATATGTAAGTGGGTGGATTTATTTGCTCTTGTGATTCCATGTTATTTTTTTCCCCTCCCTCTTCTCCCACCAGGAGTTGTCACTGAGGCTTGCAGAGAAAGAAAATGCTAAAGTAGTGGTGGCCACTGATCCAGACGCAGATAGACTAGCGGTGGCGGAACAGCAGGAGGAGGAAGTGATGGGACCTTTTATTGCAGAAGGGGGAGTGAAAATTGCAGAATGTCCCCAAATGGTTGACAGGCACGCCCCTTCAACCCACTATGTTGTGACTTCGCTGTTTGGCTATTTTTCTTGCGTCATCTTTTGGTATACCTGAAATAATGCATTTAAAATAAAATCATTTCGTAATGCAGAAAAGACTAGATGTTTACTAGGGTTACAGTAAATGGCCAGATAAAACTGAACTGAGAAGTTGAATGGTTACTAAAGCCAGTAGAATCTTGTTGTTGCTGTTTTTCTCACTTCTATTAGGCAAACAAATTCTGCCTCAGGAAAGTTTGTGGGCTTTGTTGGGTTTTGTTTGGGGTGGTTTTCTGTTTGTTTAGTTTTGTTTTTTCCTTCCCTGGTTGCTTCATATTGAACAGAAGTTTATTTTTCTTCCACTAACAGGCCCAAATTCTGACTGTTGTGTAAGTAACTACCTGTCACACGTGGTTGCGCAGGCGTTGCCTGACTGCAACGCGTGGACTGCGTAGACTTGCTGTACCTTGGTTTGATAAATGAAAAAGCCAAAGCTGTAAATCGTTGAGACGTGATGAATGTGGAGTCCTGTTAGTCTGGTGGCTTGTAGAGAGCAGCTTGTCAGTTGTGTGTGAGATCCCTGTTATTCCAGTGACTGCAGAAAACATCTCCCTCTGCGTGGATGCTCCTGGGCCACCTAGAAGAACTCTCTTTAAATATTTTCTGTCCTGTCTGCAGCGGCTGCTGGAAGGTGTTCACTGGCAATGAGCTGGCAGCTTTGTTTGGGTGGTGGATGTTTTCTTGCTGGAAGGAAAATTGCTCCGAAGATGCTGATGTGAAGAACGTTTACATGTTGGCGACTACGGTCTCCTCAAAAATTCTGAGGGCAATTGCACATAAAGAGGGATTTCACTTTGAAGTAAGTGTGGGTTTTAAGATCTTTTCTTGCCCGAGTAAAATCTGATTGCCAGGTTCCTCATCTACCCCACCTCCCTTATTAAAACCTAAATTATATATAATAGAAATGTCTTTGTCTTGATTGTTTTCCTAGAGATAAATTCTTTTGTGTGAAAGAAGTGTGTGCAACTCGATGTGTTCGTTACAAAAACTGAGTGCTTCGTGATGAATTTGTAACAAACACGTTACACAGTGTCCAGATCATCACTAATAGGTTTTAAGTTCGGTTTTACTTCAAATTGTGACCGATAGGGGAACTCTTTATGTTCACATCCTTAATGTAACTTCATTAAGGACTTGCTGAAAAACAAAAAGGGGATGCTCCTGCGTTCGAATGAAGTACTTGCTCTGATTTCCGAGCCTGGGGGGTGTTAGCTATAGGAGATGCAAGTGCTGAGCACAAACATACAAAACCCCAGGTCTTGTTTAATACATGTCTTAATTAAATCCATGTACGATGGGGAAAAATATTTTGTCAAACAATGAGAAATTAAAAACCAACATTGAAAGCAATGTTTGGAGTGCCTGTCCAGATGTGCTTAATCAGGTTGAATATCAGTGCCTTGAATCTCATTATCTTGCTAAATCCTGGTCATAGCATTTTTTTCTGGAAAGGGACACATTTGACTGAAAAAAAAATAGGAATTTATAGAACCTCCTGGTCTCTTGTAAAAGCTTCCCTCTTTAGAGCTTTCTTCTCTCAAAGAGAAGCTTTTGACAGTTTTGGCGTGATTTGAAGAACACAGGCAGGGTTGTTTTTTTTCCTCCCATCACCCCAAATTGCTGGTTTATATTTCTATAACTTTTCCTTTTGAATAACTTTGTGCTGTTGTCTCATCTGATAAGCACCACGGAAGATATCATTTGTTCTCAGAGGGAACTGCAGTCCCTCGAACTCACTTCCTCCTTGATTTAATATTCATGTCCTAGTTGAGTATTCACTAGTAAAATGCTGTCCAGTGACTCTCTGCCTTAAATTAACAATCTAAACTGAAGATATGACTTGTCTAATGTTCGTCTTCACTGTCTCTATTCTGTTTGTCAATTAATTAGATTTAAATTCTGGGATTTTTTTTCAAGAAAACCAGAAAAATGTTCTTAAGCTTTAGTGTTTTGACTCTGCAGCAGTCTTTTCCATTTATTCTAAAATTCAGAATGCATAGAATGAATTTGTTTTTTTTTTTTTTTTTCCCTTCTTCTGAGTCTGAACCATCCTGGAAGTGAAGGGAATGATAACTACACTTTCTTCTTGGACCTTAAATTGAAAAAAGTATATTTAATGCGCTCTTTTTTTTTTTTTTTTTTGTCTCACCACCTCTGTGTTTCAGGAAACACTCCCTGGTTTTAAATGGATTGGAAGTAGAGTAAAAGATCTCCTAGATAACGGAAAAGAAGTTCTCTTTGCCTTTGAAGAGTCTATCGGTATGTTTGTTCACATCACTTCAAAATGTTGAGAACTGCGTGGGGGGAATGCGACGGAAAAGGAATGGTCCTTGTTAAGAAATGAAACACAGAAGTCTTTTATTTTTGTTCTTGTAGTTACTGGTGTTGGTATCTTGCTCTCACCAAATCAACTTGCCAATTAGCATTATGCTAATGACATAGGAATCTTTTTGATTCTGATACTGTGCTTGTGCAGTTTCCGGATACAAACCTGCTCTGACACAAATTCAAAGTCCTGAGATTGCCGAGCCAAACTACTGTTGTTTTGTGGGTTTTTAACCGAGGTTAAGCGCAGGAGCCGCTGCTGATTGGGGCGATACCTCCCAGGTCCTCTCTGTGAGGACTCGCTGTTCATGGCTCTGTGGAACGAGGAGGTGGTTTGCTTCGCTCACGTCCTCCGTCACACCGGTGCTGCAATTCCTGCAGGACCTGGATGCCGTCCCCTGTACTTCAGAATCCAGCGGTGTGCAGGAATAGATTAAATACCTGATGGAAGTGATGTGGACCTTGCCTTGAGCACTCTGTCAGTTTTGGTAATCTTGCTGACACCACGTATCTGTAGAGAACTGAATGTTTGAGCTGTAGGAATCAACGGCGGCTTTCTGGGACAGCGTATTCACACACAATGTGGCATTTGAAAAGGAAGGCTGTGCTGAAGAGGGTGCGTGTCTGTGCCAGTTTCACTCGTAAAATTAAAGAGGCTTTTACCCATAAGGAGTTACGATCTTACTTGTTCATCCCTTCCGAAAGAAGGAATCGTGGCAGTACCGTGGAGCGCTGGGTTACCGGGGGCTGCATCCATGTGGTTTCCTTTGATTCAAATTACTGGCAAGACTCTCCAGTATCACTGTGCTTGCAAAAACAAGCACATTTTTTGTTTAGCACCATACTATGGGAGATCTCCTGAGAAAGCAGATCCTGTCAACCTGGAATTAATTGATGACAGCACATCTTTCCAGCCCTATAACCTCTAATTAGATTTCTTAGAAAAGGGGAATGCATATGTGGTAATAAAACTTACTTATGTGTATTGGTTAAAAGGTTAAAAATTCATGTAAATTAGTGTGAATTCAGTTTATTTTTCCAATGTTATGTATTTTTTTTTTATTTTTAGGCTTCATGTGTGGCACGTCAGTGTTGGATAAAGATGGTGTAAGCGCAGCTGTGGTCATAGCTGAAATGGCAACCTACCTGGAGAGCAAGAACCTAACGCTAGCGCAGAAACTCATTGAGATATATGAAATGTAAGTTGTATTTTTCATTACTGTGTTTTACTCAACTGTCTTGGAGCTGGAAGTATCTACTTGATTTTTTTTTTTTAATGTGCCCCGTGGATGTTTTCTCCTAGCAAGCTGTTTTTTCTGATGCTATGATGGACAGCAGTTATCAGTATCACAGACACTGCTTGAATACCACATCCCCCAAAGGACTAAAGAGGCCCTTTCTATCATGTTTCTTCAGTAAATTGTGAAAGAGGAGAATTTTACATACGGCTCCACCAGGGGAAACTTTTCTCTCTTATTTGCTGGATGCTGTGGTCTGTGTGCCTCTCTTTAGACACTTACTGTTCTCACTTGGGTCTAGGCAGTGTTAGAACATCATGGGCTGTTCTCCTGCAGGTCTGTAATAGAACAGAAGTTAAAGGAGTGGCTGCGTTCAATAGCTGTGGACACAATTCGTGGCAATAAAATGAGGAACATGTTTATGGCAGAATTAAGTTGAGCGCTGTGATACACCCGGTTCATCAGCAGAAGCTCCTGGGCTTAATGGAACTGGTGGCACGATTAGAGCAAATTACATCTGCCGTTTCTTTTCGTGGAAATCGTAGAATCGTTAAGGTTGGAAAAGACCTCTAAGATCATCAAGTCCAACTGTCAACCCAGCACCACCATGACCAGTAAACCATGTCCTGAAGTACCACATGTACACGTTTTTTTAATACCTCCAGCGCTGGGGATGCCACCAGTCCCCTGGGCAGCCTGTTTCAATGTTTCATCGCTCTTTCAGTAACGACTTTTTTCCTAATATCAAATCTAAACTTCCCCTGTTGCAACTTGAGCCCATTTCCCCACCAGGGCCTTTTCTCCCAGGCAGTTTCGAGCTGCTCCTCCCTAAGCCTGGAGCGCTGCTGGGGCCTGGGATGACCCAGGGGCAGGACCTGGCCGTTGAGCTGCTTGAACCCCACCCAACTGGCCTCGGCCCATTGCTCCAGCCTGGCCAGGTCCCTCTGCCCTCCAGCACATCAACACCCCCACCCAACTCGGTGTCATCTGCGAACTGACTGAGGGAGCACTCAATCCCCTCATCCAGATCACTGATAAAGATATTAAACAAGACTGGCCCCAACACTGAGCCCTGGGGGACACCACTTGTGACCACCTGCCAACTGGATGTAGCTCCGTTCACCACCACTCTCTGGGCTCGGCTATCCAGCCAGTTTTTTAACTCAGCGAAGAATACACCTGTCTAAGCTGTGTCCTGCAGAAAGACAGGCTGTGGCACTTAGAAACTGGGATCAAGGAGGCAGAAATGATGGTTAGCAGTTATGGTACTCAGGAGTTCGCTTTGAGGTATGAAAACTGTAGCAGAACCAGTTCTGCACAGCGGGGTTGAAGAGCG